ATATTGAACTTCTATTTGCTGATTTGTAGGACATGGCCTGTGATACATTTTTAAAAATTGTACAGAAGTGCAAGCGTAAATTTGTTCTTGTACAGGTTTGGCCACTTCTGATCTTTTGATAAGACTGGTGTCTTTAATTCTATGATTTGATAAGGCAAATAGCATGTTGAAATAAAAAGGATAAGCATATTGGGCGTGTCAATCTTTAATTTCAGGTTGGGGAGAATGAACCATTTGTATCAGAACTCTTAACAACTCTTCCAGCAACTATTGCAGATCTTGAGCCGCATCAGATACACTCCTTTTATGAATCTGTAAGTCTGTTTTATTTGGCTTTAAGATGATTGTGTGGAAAGCTTTGATTAATACTTTCTTGATTTAAGTGTATAGACACCCAATTATTTTACACGTGCATTCTTAATTGGTGCTGCGTTCCCTCTTAGGTTGGTCATATGATTCAAGCGGAATCTGACCCCCATAAAAGGGATGAATATTTACAGAGATTGATGGCTCTTCCCAATCAGGCAAGACCCTTGCTAATCATCTGTTTATTGTCAGTCTCTGTTTAGCTATGTCTACTTCTGCCCTTCTTCTTCCTTGGATGATGCATCGTAAATAACAAACAAATATTGTTGAGTGCAGAAATGGGCTGAAATTATTGGGCAGGCACGCCAGAGTGTGGATTTCTTGAAAGATCAAGAAGTTATTAGGGCAGTTCTAAATATATTGCAGGTAGATTGCCTGGGATTTGGTTTAAATTTTACTTAGTCAGCATTATTAGATGTATATTGCAGATATGTTGAATCTGGCATTCTCAGCATTCTTTCTCAGAAGAAAATAATTTGATGATGTATAAATCCTTTTCCCTCTCATTATTGGATTCATAATCTGCTGTGCATGGACATATAAAAGGTGTTTATGCCACCACTTGAGTATCGTTGTGTAGGGTGTTCTGTCGTATACATACCGTCTCTGGTTCATATTTGGGTCTTGTTAATCTTGGAATGTGAAGATGAGGTACAAATAGATTTGAATTGATTATAGTTTGAAATACAATTTGTTGAACCATTTGATCTAAAAATTTAAACTGTTTGGTAAGATCAAATCTATATCATTTAAATATTATTTTCAACACGTTCCTTCATGTGTAGGCAGGATTTATTTTTTCCCATCAAAACCTTACACATGCACAATTTTCCGTAAGTGGTGCGAGACTTGAACCCAAGGCCCTTTTGTGCTTTGATACCATATTGGACCACTTGATCTAGATAAAACCAAATGTATATCACTTAAATATTATATTCTACAAAATCTTCATAGGTCTTTATCTCTTCATCATGCCTGTTGTCCAGTCTCCTTCCATCATTGTACTTGTGAATGTTATCTTATGTAATTCTCTTGTTGCTTGGCAGACAAATACTAGTGCTGCCAGTTCTCTTGGAACTTATTTCTTGCCACAGATCTCTCTGATCTTTTTGGACATGCTCAACGTGTACAGGTATTTTTAATTATTATGTCCTTACAATCACTGCATTATTGAGTTTTTTCCAGTGATTTGCTTGATTTATATTATAAGTATGTCCAACAGAATGTACAGTGAGCTTATATCTACCAGTATTGCACAAGGAGGACCCTTTGCGTCAAGAACATCGATTGTGAAACTTCTACGGTGAGTGTAAATTTTTTAGTCTGGTTCCTACAACACAAGTCATCTGACAATTATGTCAATTTTGAACAGGTCAGTGAAGAGGGAAACACTAAAGCTCATTGAGACATTTCTAGACAAAGCAGAAGATCAACCTCATATTGGAAAGCAGTTTGTTCCTCCAATGATGGACCCTGTACTAGGTGATTATGCTCGGAATTTGCCTGATGCGAGAGAGTCAGAAGTTCTCTCTCTTTTTGCCACAATAATTAACAAGTATGCTACACATTCTTCCTCCTGAGATTTTGCTTCATGTGGTATTATTATTTTGTTTCACTGGGGCCCGAAAGAATAACTAATGTATGGATGAACTGTTATACTAGTATTAGTGCCTGTTTGGAAAAAATATATATATATATTTTTTTGATAAAGCTTGTTTGGAAAAAAATATAATGAGATTATAAGGAAGTGGAGTAATGGATCCCACGAAAATGTGGATAATAACTGGGGAGTAGTTACATAAGTGTAGTTATTGTAATTAATGTTTGACTTCTAAATTATAAGGTGATTATAATGAAACACAAGAAGTTAAGATGATGCATCCACATCAAATTTCTCCTCTTTCTTCTCCAACTTGAACAGTGTATAAGAGCCTAGAATGTCGGGTGCTGATGCTTTCTGTTGCATTTAATTTTGTTGAGGATGCTATCAGGTTTTGCAACTAATTTCCTTTTGCTCTTGTTACTTGTCCAGATACAAGGGGACAATGATTGAGGATGTTCCTCGCATATTTGAAGCTGTTTTCCAGTGTACTTTGGAGGTTTGTGAATATTGTTTAGACATTTTATGTCCCAGGCAGGTGTTTGTGCTGATCCGTGTTTGTCATGGGAATAGATTGATTATTTCCCTTAACTCACCAGATACGAAAGTTATTTTTACCTCAATATACACTTCTTTGAATATACATCTGTAAAAATGTAGACCTTGTTAAACATGCAATTTTGGGCTGATCCGTGTTTTTTTTTGTGAAAAGATTGATTATTTCCCTTACTCACCAGATACGAAAGTTGTTTTTAACTGAATACGCACTCATCCGAACATGCATCTATAAAAATGTAAACCTCATTAAACATTCAACACATACATGTTAATGTACTATATTTTTCTTTCTTTGTGTATCCTATCACGTGACATCAGATTCAAAAGTCTGAATATGATGCAGTGCTGCACAAATATTTTGATCTATGCTAGTTTCCTAATTTAGTTAAGGTTGAAAGTTGAGTTATTACTTCCATTCCATCTCCTGATCCAAACCCCAGTGAGCTCTGTACAAAAAAATTATTACATTTCTAATTCATTCAAACAATTTGTTAGGCAGGGGCAGAGCGTCGTGAGGCCCATAGATGGCAAATGCTCACTGGATTTGGAGAAAGGATTCGATTCAGTTCTTTATTCTCTTTTTTATGTAAATGGATTCGGTTTGGTTTTGGGTTTTACATCAGCAAGAAAAATAGGAAACTTAAAAGGAAGGCATCATCGTCAGCATTTTTAAATCTAGTTTCCTGATTTTTTCCCCTTTCCTTCCCCACTATGCATATGCACACTGCTTTGTAAATTTTAAATTTCCTTAAGTTCTTCTTACCTTACGGTTGTAACTTTAGAAATGAAAAGAAGCCCAGACTTAAGCTGCTGCCTTCTATCCTTTCTTTTTCAGATTCTTTATTTATTTATTTTTTTTTT